GGGTCCCCGCCGCCCGCCGGGGGGACCATGGCGCCCACGGCCGCGGCGCTCAGTGCCAGCTGGGGCTCCGCCTCGGAGGGGCTCAGGTCCTTCAGCTCCACCTCAGGCACCTTGGCCGCCGCCGCCGCCGCCGACACGACCTGCACCGACATCACCGCCTGCGCTGCGACCGCCGGCTCCGGCTCCCGCCCGGCCCCGCCTCCCGCCTCCCTGCCCCTGCCCTCCCCCATGCCCCCTCTCCTCCCCTCCATCGCCTCCGCTCCCACCCCCTTCCTCCGCCCGCCCGCCCGCCCGCTCGCTCGCCGCCAGCCTGGCCTCGCCAGCCCCGCCCCACTCCCGTCGGACTCCCGCGCGCGGTGCCACGGAACCTGTAGTGCGCCTGCCCCGGGCTGCGCGCGGCCGGACGACTGTGGGACCTCAGCACCCAGGATGCACTGCGCGCGACGGGGCAGGCCGCACAGCACCCTGGACGTTGTAGTCCCGTCGGCCCTCCTCCGGAAAGAAGTTTTCTGGGGAGAGGGAGCTCTCAGGCCAGCGACTAACGGAAAAGTATGGAAACGCATGACGCGACGGAATAGAGAAGAAAAACGTCTCCAGAGGGGCTGCGGTTTCCGGAAGGGAAAGCGGGGGAAGAACTCCCGGTTCGCTCCCTGGACGGCGTGAGCGTCCTCCGCGCTGTGCGCAGGCGTGCGATCACGTGGGCGGCCTTTAAAGGGAACGCGGCGCGCCGCGTGAGCCGACCGCCGGCTGCGGGCTGGACGGCGTGGGGCGTCCGGGTTTGGAGCGGGCTCTCCGAAGCCTGTCTGCGGCGGGTTGATCTCCAGGAGAAATGAAGGACGCCGTTTCCTGCCTTCAGGGTTTCTTGCACAATCTGAGCTAAACTAAAATCAAACCCCGAAAGAAGGAAATTCCGTCAGGGTACAGTGGCGTTCACAGTCGCCCTTGAACATCCGCCGCGGATGCGTCTCTAGAAGTTCAAGGCCAGCTGAACCTGCAGCAAAACCCTGTCTTAAAAAAAAAAAAAAAAAAAGCCGGGCCTGCCCTTGAGCCGAGCACACAAGAGACAGAGGCAGGCAGACCTGTGAGTTCGAGGCCAGCCTGGCCTGCAGAGTGAGTCCAGGACAGCCAAGGCTTCACAGAGAAACCCTGTCTGAAAAAACAAACAAAAGTTAATTTCCACTAGTTTGAAATTACCGTGCTGAGAATTAACACATAGCTTTTAAATGAGGCCAAATCTCTTGACCTACTAATTGTATAGAAATAATCAGATCCTCCGAGCCACGGGCTCACGTGTAGCATGGCGGAATAGGAATACTGATCTCCCTAAGTGATACAAACTGATTTATTTTCTAAAAACATGAGTAGAAGTTCTGCTTAGTGCGGCAAGGCCTCACTGCGTGTCTCCGGCCGGCCTGGAGCTCTCTGGGTTAGGCCGGCTTTGAGTCACAGCGACCTGCCTGCCGCTGCCGCCCGAGTGCTGGAGGCACCCCAGCTAGGGGAAAGCTTGAGTGCTGTGTGCGTGCGCGGGATGCGTGTGCAGCTTCTGCCGTGGTGCACATACGGAAGTCGCAGACGCTGTGGAGTCCATTCTTTTCCTGATGTGTGAGCTCCAGAGATTCAGTGTAAGTCAGCAGACCTGGAGGGGGGTGCTTTTAATGACCAAGCCATTTTGCTGGCCCCGTCTCATTTTTTTATTGAACATTTCTTTAGATTTACTTACTGTTTTATGGGTGTTGGTGTTTTGCCTGCACACACACCCTGCACACGTGCGGTGCCTGGAGCCGGCTGAGGTCAGAAGGCGGCACCGGGTCCTCTAGGCTAAATTTACACACTGCTGTGAGATGGTGTGTGAGCCCTGGGAGGCGAACCTGGGTCCTGTGAAAGAGCAGTGAATTCTCTTAACCATTAAGCCAGGTCACCAGCTTCCAGGGTCTTTTGTTTGTTTTGTTTTGTTTTCTTTCTAAAACAGGGTTTCTCTGTGTCTCCCTGGTTGTCCTGGACTCAGTCTGTAGACCAGGCTGGCCTTGAACTCATAGAGATCCACCTGCCTCTGCCTCCCGAGTGCTGGGAACAAAGGTGTGTGCCACCACGCCCGGCTTCTCAGTTTTATTTTTATTACAAAAAATAAAATTACATACCTATTGGGCAGGCTGTAGTGGTAATCCCAGCACTCGGGAAACTGAGACCTGAGAATCAGGAATTCGTCAAGGTTGGCCTTGACTGCTTAGCAAACCCTGCCTCAAAAATAAGAAACTTACCTGAAACTAATGTTCTGTGGACAATAGAATTATATTTTGTCTTTTTTTTTTTTCAGAGCTGAGGATTGAACCCAGGGCTTTGCGCTTGCTAGGCAAGCGCTCTACCACTGAGCTAAATCCCTAACCCCTCCAATAATCTTTTAATGATAAAAGGAAGTTTTTATGATTAAAAACTTAGACTAAAAGCCAGGCAGAGGTGGCACACACCCTTAGTCCAGCTCTCAGGAGGTAGAGGCAGGTGGAACTCTTCACAAAGCAAGTTCCAGGACAGCCAGGGCTACACAGAGCGACCCTGTTTTGAAAACAAGCAAACCACAACAATAACAAAAACAATTAGACTAAAAAGCAGAAGCTAACCGTCCACGTTCTCGGGGTTAGAGAGCTGGCTAAGACCAGGAGCCCTTGCTGGAGCTTGTTCCCAACAGCTTCGCTGAGCAGCTCACAAGTGCTTGCAACTTCAGCTCCGGGGGCTCTGATGCCCTCTTCTGGCCCTACAGACACACACATACACATAGAACTAAAAATGATTCTTAACTGCACATTCTTTAAGCTTTCATGTAGATATTACCTAAAAGGGAAAATGTGTTAAAACGCAGTTGACTCTTAACACATTATGAGGTAGGCCTTTCTTAAATGAGCAAAGAGATCACACACTTTGTGGCTGCTCAGAAAATGACAGCAGCCCTGACTGCTCAAGTGGGCCGCCGGCCAGCTGGTCATTGGAGAAGCTACTTGTTCCCGAGCGACAGAAGACAAAGGGAGGCCCGGCTTGCACCTCCTCCTGGCTCCTTGGGAGTCTCTTCGTGAGGGAGCTTTTGTTTCCCCGTCTCCAAATCTGTGCGGGAAGGCACCTGCCCTGCGGTTCCAGAGCCCACCAGACACAGCCTATTCGGCTTTCTTGGCACGTGTCAGCTCTGACCATGTCCTTCCTGCTAGGACGGAATGACCCAGAGCTTCGTCCTCCAGCTGCTCGCACAGGCCGACGCTTGAGAACTGATTTCCTTCTTCCCCTAATGCACAAGGGAACTTTAGCACAGCCACCTGGCACACACGCCCAGCAGCTGCCTACCTGGCCGCCGCTGGAACTGATTACTGAGCGGAAGAACCAGTCCTTCGTGGAATGCAGTGAGGAAACATAAGGAGCTTGAGCCCTGAAAGGCAGAAATTTAGCCGCTGTTTATCCAGGTCCTGCCAGTACTTGGAACCAACAATCAGATCATATTCTTCACCCCTTCCGGCTCCTCCTGTCCACCTGCTGGTTCTGGGGCAGAGTGAGGCAAACCCAACACAGGCAAAGCGGGGCTGCCACACCAGAAGCAGGGAGACTGCACAAGTCTGTTCACTAGTTAGGGACCTTTTAAGCCTGCAGGACTTTTTCCTTCGTCTGGGTCGTTCAGCCTCCAGAAGCCTGGCAGGCAGTAATAATCTTCCTGAGGTGTCTGACCAGTTCAAGAGAGAAAATGAAAATGCTACCGCTGAAGTCAAGGAAATCGGCTAGCTGCAGCACACACACTGATGGCGCTGTGAAACGGGCGGCGCCACACCACCAGCAGACAAACCTCGTCACTAGCCTTGTGACGTCAGTCTCCAACGGCAGCAAGACGGCAAAGTGGTGCCCTGGTGTTCTGTGAGGCCCTGCACTCCTGCTCCAGCAACACGGCTAAAGAGGCAGAGGCTGACGTAGTTCTTAAACCATAAATCAACTGGTGGTACACAGGAGGCTGAGGAAGAAGAACTGTGAGCTCAAGGCTGGCCTGAGCTACGCGGAAGGTTCAAAGCCTGCCCAGGCTGTGTAGACGGTGCCCCTCGACCGCCAAATCACCAATACGATGGGAGACTTACAATACTGTATTTGTGAAGGAGCATACGGTTTCAAGGACTAAACTTCCAGAAAACAAAAACATTTTACATGAAAGCCTGCTAGCAGAATACTTTTCCTTAGAAATTTTTAAGCACAAAAGTTTTGTTGTGGTTGTTTGTGGTTGCTATTTGTTTGTTGAGGCAGGACCTTCCTGTGCAGCCTGGCTGGCCTGGAACTTCCCATTTAGACCAAGCTGGTCCCAGACTTCAGCAAGTCCCCTGCCTCTGCCTCCTCAGTGTGCTGCGGTCATGTTCTGTGCACTCCTATATGGAAAGACGCTTTCTAGCTTTTGCTCAGGTGCTGAAAATGGGAGCTTCTATGCATTGCATGCATTTTAATGTCTGTTTTAGTATAATACAGACAATGCATTGAATAGCTGCAGTGTTCTGGAAAAGGAATAATTTTTCAGATGAACACTTTTTTTTTCCCTCTCTTTTTGGTTTTTTTGAGACAGGGTTTCTCTGTGTACCCTTGGCTGTCC